ACCCTTGGGGCTCCGGGCTCTCCTAGCCACCTACCACCATACAAGAGTCTGCCAGACAGTGAGGGACACGTAGGGCAATGTTAAAACTCTTTAGGTGGCTAGACGAGCCCGCAGCCCCAATGTCAGCAGGGTTCCTGCCCCAAAATTTGAGCTGTGATGCTAACATTGTCTTTCCAGCACCAGCAAGGCTTGAAGATCTTGGGGTGCCCGGGAATCTGCCATCACTTGGTGCACAGCCTAGGAGGCTGCTAGCCCCTTTAGACACTGCATAAAACAGAGAATTTGGAGCTCAAGCTTTACCTCAGCCAAGGACATCATGAGCTAATTGTATTAAGTATTTTGACTCTGCTGGAAGAGCAGTTTTCAGGGTAAAGAACAGCACAAATCCTGCTTTTCTGCTGTAGAGAAATTCCAGACCTTTTCAGAGACCCCTATCCCAGTCCTGTTTAAACCTCCCCCAAGCATCATTGCAAACCAGGTGTGAGCTTGTGCAAAGCCTCCCCTCCTATTTCACAGCTCTCAAAGCAGCACTACTGAAGTTTCATGTGATTTCATTAGCACAAGTCCCAGCAGCGCCTGCCCTCTGCTCCCTGGATTCAACATACTTCACTGCAAGCTCTGCTAAAAGTGATTTTTTTTTTCTCTTTTCCTGTTCTGCAGTACTTTTAACTTCTTCACATATCATTTGACCCTCTAACCTTTTCTGCTTCATAATGCACGTATGAAATCCCGTACAGCATAAACCTGTTATTGTCTATAGTTGTCTACAAGACAAGAAACCGCCCTGCTCAGGGTCTGGGTGGTTTGACTAGAAATAACTTCAGCAAGAACTCCCTAAACACTTCTGCCTCTCCAAGGTGTGCCAGTAATTGCCCCCTACCCTCTCTGCAGCTTAATGAGAAGGGTAGCAGTAAACATGCCACATTTTAGAGGGAAGTGGTGTATTCCCATGCAGTCATGATAGAAAGGTTGATTGATAGAAATAAAAGGGAGATGACAGCTCCTCCCCAGGTACTGCTCGCTCAGGCTGACAGAAAAGCTCCTTGATGGTGCTTGGGATTAAAACAGCGATGTATTAGAAACTTCTCAGCTTAAAGGGCATGGTTTCAAACAGAACCAGAGAAAAAGAAGCCCTGAGCTCAAGAGGGCTCAGCACACAACCAAAGGACAGGACAGCCTGCAAAGCCCTCCTGACCCTGCAGCTGACCATAGTTATCCCCTCCCAGCCCTTCCCCGTATACCTGCAAGGATTTAACATACACAAAGGGGGGACCCAGTAACCTTCCCCCTGCCAGGCGTGGAGCAAGCCAGGGCACTTTTCTGAAAGTGCTTTTTTTTTTTTCCCCCCCTAGTACAAAACTCAATGTATTTTGTTTTCTGTGCCGAAAACACCTTGCACTTAAAAAGCTACATGGATTTCTGATATTTTTTTTCCAGTCTTTCTTATTAACCATGTATTGGCCAAGCAAAAGACTTTAAAAAATAGAAAGCTATGGTGAGGATGCCTAAAAGTCTTACTCAAAGTGCCTAGGAAACAGCTGTCATATCACACTGTGTTTGGAGCACCTGGAGGGCGATAAGACAGCATAGCAAGATATAAGATTTATTTTCCTGAGCAAAGAGCAATAACTGCATCTAGGCCTGTGGGGCTCCCAGTTAACCCACTGGGCCCCAGCATGGTGGCCTCACCCACAAGACACAGGTTTACATCAGGCAATGGTGCTGGACACAGCACGAGGTGTTTAAGTCCCTTCCTTGCCATGTGCCTCAGTTTCCCCTTCTGGTAATTGAGTGATTGCAGCCCACCATGCCCGCAGTCCTCAGCTGCTTGCTGGCTCTGGGACACACCGTGTCACCCCTCTGTCCTACTCCAAGTGCCACTTTGTGGCACTGTTTGAAAAGATTTCTTTGCTCAATGCCTGCCTCCCCGTCCAGATCCAGAAGAGGGAGTTTCTGGAAGGAGTCACATTAATCTTGGCATGACAATATCCTCATTTTTCTTCCTTTGTTTTCTTTTCTCTTTGTTCACCATGCAAGCACTCCTGGGCGGTCTCCTCCCCTGCGTGTCAGTCACTGGGGATCTACTTTCACAAAACACGTTTGCCAAACACAACAGTCCCGGGTGTTGCTCGGGCATCACCTTAAACTAAATCCTCCAGTGGTAAAAATAGCCTTTTCTGTTAAATTCCTCTGAAGTGTGTCTGCAGGTGGGGCAAGCTTAGAAAGAATGATGCATTAACTCCAGAGAAAAGCATCAGAGCAGAAGTTAATGAGAAAGAGACAAATGAAGACAGGGGTATGACAATGTAATTGGGTGAGAGATGTTTTAGGTCGCCCTGCTGAAGGGGTGTCTCCTCTGGAAGATGCAGGCTGTGATCCTGAACTGTATATAAGACGGCTGAGAGCTGATCTGCTCCATCCAGACTGCGCTCCTGAAGCTCAGCACTCCTGTTCCTCGTCCAGGTAAGCCTGCACAGACTTTTCACACTGTCTGACTTTGCTACCAGCAAGAAAGTAGGATCATCTGGCCATGAGGATATCCCTGGAGCTGCCACTGCTGAGCTCTCCTAAAAGAAAAAAAAAAATAAGAGATCTGGAATTACACTGTTCCATGGTTCATTAGAGATGACCTCCATCCACAGCGCTGCTCTCCTCCAGAGAAAGCCAAATGGGATTTTTTTTTTCTCTCCTCTCTTACTGTGTGCCCCCAGACTTTCAGCTCTTGCTGTCCCTCACCTCTCCAGCCATCACCCGCTGGTCCTCACACCGTCATCTCTGCAGCTGAGTTTCATTATTCAGGTTTGTTTTCCTGTGAGAGAGATACTTTTTGCTCTGTCTTTACCTTCCCTTCCCTCCTACCATTTCAATTTATCTGTGCCCTTCTCTAGCTCTTCTTTCTCTCTCTGCCTGTCCAGCTGTGTTGTTTAAGAGTAACTTATCTGAAAACCAAGCAAACAAATTAAAAAAGCCCCTTTTTGTCTGTGTTTTTCTTACAGGCTGCCTCAATTTTGCAGGGAGATGGCCCAGCTCCAGGAAAACACCGATGACATCCTTTCTGCTTTCTACATGTGCGCCAGAAGCGATGGCAACTGCAGCCCCCTGAGCAAGGAGGAGCTGAGGCAGCTCATCGAGCAGGAGTTCAGGGATGCAATGGAGGTGAGGATCTGGCCCCACAGCTGGCGACTGCTGCGGGTGTTTCTGCTGGCTGCAGGGCTGGGAGGGTAAAGCTATGCGCTCCCGTATCGGTGTATGGGACATCTGGCTTCCTGGGAAAGGCACAGATGCCTTCAAAGCCCAGGATCTGCAAGGAAGAGGAGAGGCTGTTCATTCTCCCAGTGCCAGCAGCTTGTAGAGGGGGCAAAGCCCCACAAGCCACAGTGGTGGGGGCCATGGGGCTGGATTTCTGCCCTGAGACTGCTCGAATGCTCCTAGAGAGATGGCACAAACGGCTCATGGGCTTTGCCAACACCGTTTGTCTCTTTACAGAACGCCCAGGATCCCAAAACCATCAAGAAGGTGTTGTGCTTCCTGGATGATGACAGCAACTGCAGGGTTGACTTCAGTGAGTTGCTCAGCCTGGTTTTCTGTGTGGCCAAGGCTTGTTACAAGCCGCTCCAGCAGCACCAGGCGCAGGAAGATGGTCAAAAGCCAACACCGCAAGAGAAAGCAGGCAAGGAGCAGCCACTGGGGTCACACACAGTGGGGAGGGTCTCCTGCAACCTGCAGATCCCCAAGCAGGGTGTGAACAATCAGGTTCAGGACACTAAGACACAGGACCTGGACCCCCATCAAACCCAGGAGGGTGAGACACCAAAGCAGGATCCAGAGAACCGTGAAACCCAGGAGGGTGAAACACCAAAGCAGGATCCAGAGAACCATCAAACCCAGGAGGGTGAAACACCAAAGCAGGATCCAGAGAACCGTCAAACCCAGGAGGGTGAGACACCAAAGCAGGATCCAGAGAACCATCAAACCCAGGAGGGTGAGACACCAAAGCAGGATCCAGAGAACCATCAAACCCAGGAGGGTGAGACACCAAAGCAGGATCCAGAGAACCATCAAACCCAGGAGGGTGAGACACCAAAGCAGGATCCAGAGAACCGTCAAACCCAGGAGGGTGAGACACCAAAGGAGGACCAGGACACCCATCAAAACCAGGAGAGCGAGACACCAGAGGAAGACCAGGACACCTATCAGGATGACAGGACTAAAGCAGCAGAAGGGGATTCAGAGAGAGGTGACATTCTGGACACCGCAACCCCAGAGCAGGATAGAAATACCCATAAGGCTGAAGAACCTGAGACACCAAAGCAGGACCCAAAAACCCACTGGGCCAAAGAAACAGAGGCGCGAGGAAAGGGTTCAAAGCACCATCAGAGACCAGAGACAGAGTCAGCGGAGCAGGACCTGAGTTGTCCTTCTGATACACGAGGAAGAGACCCAAAAAACAAGACCCAGGTCTGCAATGCCCCTCAGCCGGACCCCAACCACAGCAAGACCCAGAAGCTGCTGCCTCCACAGCGGGGTGCAAGCCCCCGTCGGGATCCCAAGCCCCAGGGAACGCACCATGACCCGGCTGTCCATCCGCTCCCTGAATCCAAGGTGGCGGAGCAGGAGCACAACAGGGTAGAGCCTTCATCTTGTCCAGCACAACAGCAACAAGATGCTCATCACCAAAGACAACCTGCTATAGAGCAACAGCTCCTGCAGCCTCTGTATCAGTGGCCACTACAGCAGTAAAGGCTGAAACAAGCCCCCACCTAAGTGAGGCTGTTGCCCCCTGCGAGGAGATACATTTTCGTCCAGTCCTACTCTGTTTTTTGCATTTCTGTTTGTCATGTCTTGTCCAATTCCTTCTTAACCCTGGGCTTCACAGCGCTGGTTTGTAGTGAGCTATGCATGACTAGAGACCTTCCCCCTCTTACTCTGTGTTATGCTGCCTCTGTAAGCAAAGCAATAAAACCGAAGGCAAAAATGGCACAGTGTCCCGGTGTGTTGCTGCAAGCGTGTCCTTGGCCTAGCTCTGAGCAAACAGCCAGGTTGACATGTTGTGGTGGAGGACCCGAGTGTCCATCCCTTGCATTACGTACACCCAGATTGCTCCAGGGCACAGGTGGAGGGATGGCTGCAGAGAGGCAGGTGTGTCTTGGGGGTGGATAGCCTAAAGGAGCTGCTGCTCAGCTGCCCTTGCAATTTATCCAAGGTGAATCGATTGCTCCCTGCGGGCAGGGATGTGACATCCCTGTGAGAGATGTCTTCAGAGGGGGTAGAAATCTGGATTAACACAACACCACAGCTGACCTGAACAGATTCTTCACAGCATCCATCTGCTCCAGGCATTTTTCATGTTTGCTGTGAAAAGAATAAACAGCTGCTTAACACTGAATGGGAAGGATTCGTCCTGTTTAACCTCACTTTATTAATAATCTCTGAAGCAAGGGGAATGTAGAGCAAGCTACGAAGATCAAACACCCCTATTAGCTATGGAAGTCTCCAAAGGAAGGAGTGGAGATATATTAAACACAGGAAAAATGATGATCGGTTACATGCAGTTCCAGCAACAACTGGGAGGCCAGTGATAAAAAGCTGACATGCAAACCATGCACAAACGAAGCCAATATCTCAAACTCAGATTCAGTTCAGACAGTTTGGGGTACCATGTCCAGACGTGCACGTAGGAATGTGAATAACTCTGAGGGCATGAGCAGTCCAGTGAAGTCAGTGGGGTTTATTAGAGTGTTCAGACGTGCTGGACCACCAGGCAGGTCCAGGACTCAGCATCCCGCAGGGAGGGTAATGCTCAGCCTGTTTTTCACCATGCTATCTTTCACTTGCAACCTATCAGCAAAATCAGCACATGATAAATGCACCCGCACCTCCTGCTCTGTGGCCAGTGACAAGCAGCACACAGAGACCTCACTGGAAAATAAAACGTCATTCCTCTGGGACACCCTAGAATTTCACAATTTGCTAAGCGTTGAATCAGAAAAACCAGCGTTTCAAAACTATCCCCAGAATGTACATCACAAAAATGACTTGGTTTAAAAGTGCTAATATCAAAATTAAATGTATTAGACACAAAGTGCACCAGTCTGCTCTACTACTGATAAAACATATTAGTAAAAATAAGTTCTGACCTACCTCATGACAGCTGTGGACATGAAAGGGGAGAGTCAAGACTTAATTTCATCACCTACCTGTCAAAATTCCAAGCCATCTGAGACATTCCTCAAAACATTTCATCTTCCAGAGAACTACATTTTTCTTGTAAAACAGGTTTCAGTTAGAGGTTTGTCCAATAGTTCTTTGCTTCTTATTAGCTCTGGCTTAGGGTCTAAAATCACCAGACCCAACAATCCCCCTGTGGTCTGTCTGCCCATCAGCTGCCACCTTTTGCAGTATCAATAAAAAAACTGACCTCCCAGTTCAGGCACCAAGCCCTGTTAGGGACATGTTAATTATACGCTCAATTCTGAATAATGCTACTTTTGCCATCAGGAGTGTCATATTTGAAGTTAAGAGAGGTTTTTTTGGTTTATTTTAAGGAGAACATGAAAATTATCCCACTGATACAAATACCTAGAATAGAATCATAGAATCATAAAATGGTTTGCGTTGGAAGGGACCTCAAAGAACACCTAATTCCAACCTGCGTAAGAGTCCTGCAAACTTGGGAGGTGTTGGAAGAGAAAACGTCTTTGATACACCACATTAGGAGCCCAGTTCCTCTAAGATTAAATGCAATAGAAGTTTGGTCACCTTTTATAAACGGTGACAGGGATGGGCACAGAATTGGGTATGAAGCAGGAGGACAGAGCCCACCCTCTTGGGTAATAGCTTTTAAAAACCTACCCAAGTCCCATCTTACGAAAACATCTTTGGGCAAAATGAAGCCCTTGGAGAAAAGGCGGTTTCAGTGCTGCCAAGAACATGCTTTGAAACTCATTGCTTTGTCCTGGGAATGGCAGCAACGCATGGGAAAGCAGGCGAGCATGCCAGCATGTGCATGGCCGAAACGCGACGCACATTTTTCCTGCATTGATACCCAAACTCTGCCCAGTGGCTCACACAGCATCCGACTGTCCCGCACTGCCCCAGCCCCTGCGGGGGGGATTACAGACTGTTACAGGACACCAAGCCGCACTGTAATACTCTAATTTTAATAATAACTCCAATCTACCATAAAATTACAGTTTCCCAAGGGTATTATTATCCCACAGGTGGGGTATAATTCGCACAAGTATAATTTAATCTTGAAAAAAAGCTCAAAAATGAAGTATGGTTAGTAACAATCCTTCGTACGCACTTGTATGAGTATCCCCAAGGTGTTACCAGCACTAATTAATTAGGCTCCTACACCCAGTATGATCTTACCTTACAGATGGGCCAGATGAGCCACTCACCCAAGGCTGCGTGACAAGTTCATGCTCCGAAGGCTCTCTGCAATGTCTCCGTCATGCTTGTCAAGGCAGCATCCGACCTTCAAAACCAAAGTCAGGGGCCCAGGTGGCACGGCTGATGTCTTCCTTATTTGCTCTGTATACTGGGAGAGTTCGGGGTGAATAAAGGAATCAGTCGGTCTCTAACTAATTTACTGTTAAAAGATCAAAAAAAAAAAAAAAAGACTGTAGAGGTAATTACAGCAAAAGCTGCCTAGGGCAACCAGATGAACATTCAACATGAATCAACCTCTCAGCAGAGAGGTTTCAGCTTTTATTTTTAATTAAATATCAAGCAAAGTTGAAATGAAAGTCATTCATGGAAGACAGTTAATATGAAAAATGTTTTATGATTATTTTTCTCAATGAAAAGTCATTGCTTATTGAACAGGCTTTTTTTTTTTTTTTTGTATGAAAATTCACTTTGCAAACTTTACCATTTAAAAATGTTCTGTTTGTGGTTGGGTTTTTTTCCAACAAAACCCTGGATAATATAAAAAAAAGGCTCCTTAATAAGAACTTACCAAAAATAAAACACTCTACAAGGATGCCACACAACCCAAGATCTGGTGGATTTGGGGATCTCACTACTGTGCACCTGTATTTCACCATTTTCATAGCACTAAGGTCTTTTTCTGTCCTTCTGTGAGCAAAAGCCAGACCCAAACCCCATTGACCTCAGGCCCAAGGTACCGAAGGAACCATACAAAAAGAAAAAAAATAAATAATCTCTGGTTATTGCGGTACCAAGATCATGGGCCATACGGATCTGCTCATAGTGAGCTCTGCTACCATCAGCACTTCTCTCCCCATCCTCAAAATTTCATTCTGGTACTATTTTTACGTGTGCATGTGTGTATTGTACATATATAAATTTATACCTATGCAGATGCACATTTATATAAAAATACATCCTCCTGTTAGTATACATCTATGCTTTATAGTTACTCTAGATTTTTTAAAATCTGAAATAAAATCAGCCTGTAAAATAACTTAACAGTCTGGATTAGGTGGAACCAGCCAGTGCCTGAATTGCCACATGGCAACTGCTATTTCTGGGTTAAAATGATAGGTAAGGGGATGATAAGTTAAATAACCCGTTTGAGGACATGAAGGTGCAGCTGGGCTTGGCCAAAGATGAATCAGGACAATGTCCACAAAGGGTGTCTCCTTTCTGTAGCTCCGTCAAGGACCCTATAAAAGCACTTGGGTCTTCTGATCACTCCGCACGGCTTCACAGGAATCCCACTTGATCCCGTTGGTGATTTGGGTAAGTTTCTCCTTCTGAAACGTGCACTTTGCTGGGCAAGGACATGTTATTTCTATAGGATTCATGTCGGGTGGCAGCATCATTCCTGCAGCAGTATTTTCTGAGAGTCTTTCGCGTTTATATCCAGTGAAGTGTTGTTTTGCGTTGGTCGGACACCTGCATGATGTCGTTGTGTGTCCAGGTGTAGAGGCAGCTTTTCTCAAAGGGAAAAGGAGAGAAAGAGCCAGGTTTTGTGCCTTACTTTGGTCTGGAGTTAGCTGCCAGACTGAATGAACAAATTGGACAATTTTTTCTGTTTTCTACAGAAATACTAAACCCCAGGATTTTGTATGTAGAGGTGTGCACATGTGTTCATGCATATGTGCACGTTATAGAGGTGGCAAGGCAGATATGGCACAGATACTTCTCCAGCTGCAAGCTGAGATCTCAGCACTGATGTACCTGGTAACAGGCATGGGGATCCCTTGAGGAGGAGGGAAGAAGGTGGCTTTTGAGGTTTCCAAACACAAAGCTCCAACAGGAGCACTGCTTTCCGCCAAGCAGGTCTCAGTAAAATTAAATAAGTAGCTCTGACCTAGGTGATCTGACAGTTACCCTCTGGCCAAAATCTATTTGCCAATGAACTGATGCTGTACTGAAAGCTTTATTAATTGTTTTGCATTACTACTGGTCACAAGATCATCAGCCACAGGGCTTGTTTTAACCCCCTGTAAGCACTCTACTTGTCTCTGGCCAGCTAGATCTTGTCTCAGGCCATGCCAGCGCTGCATTAGACATCCTCTAACCAGCTCCAGAGAAGCTGGTGTCTCTCAGTACCAGGCAGAGATAGCAGCATGGGTCGTGGAAACATAAGTATCTGGTATAGCCCCATGGGGACAGGTTCTTGGGGCATCTCTTGAGTCACCAGCCCCAGTCCCCTCCCTGCGATCCATAAATGCGGGCATCCTGTCATCCCCTATCAAATGGCATTCGAATTCGTCAGTAGACAGGTTGGAGGACACTCCCCATCCCACTAAAACCCCTAAGCGTTTGAATTTCTTCCCAGTGCTCTGGTGAAACAGAGCTCGCCATGGCAGAGGAGCAGCACACAGCACATGGCACCCAGTGTCCCATTAACACACACAGCCTGACCCCAGCAATTCTCCCTGCTCTTTTCATGTTCAGAGGCAAGTGAATCTCCTGTCCTTAGATCCGCTCCTTTTCTTGCAGGCTTGCTTGAATCTGCAGGAAGATGTCTCGCTTCTTAGACAGCGTTTCCACCATCATCGGCGTCTTTCACAAATATGCAAAGGAAGATGGAGACTGCTCCAACCTCAGCCGAAGGAAGATGAAAGAGTTCATCCAGAGGGAGTTTGCAGATTCCATAGCTGTGAGTGGTGCTGCAAGGGGGAGAGCTTGAGGCCAAGACTGGAGTGCAGGGACTGCAAAGTCTCCTCCTGGAGAGGGGATGATTCTTATGACAGTGGGACGGGGAGGCTTTCACCAAAGGGAAGCACCAGTTCCATTCCTTTGCACTGACTGCCTCGACAGCTCTTCCAACCCACTTTGTCATGAGCAAATGGGCAAAAGTTGGAGAATGAACTGTGGGGAGGTATGGTTTTCTTTCAGAGGTAGGAAGGAGATGCATCCAGTAGAGGGGCACAGCATATCCCAAAGAGAAGGGAGCTGGTTAGTGGCAGCCAGGCAACAACCAGGAAAATGAGAACAAAAACTTGGAGCTGTTGCTGAGCTATAGAAGTGAAGATGTGAGACAGAGGAGTAAAGATTGCAATTTTCCGTGTCTTCACATTTCTCTGACAAGGAGCAGGAAGGTTAAAATCCCTTTTTTTTCTATCCCTGTGTGTGTTTTCCCTGCAGAAGCCACATGACCTTCAGACGATTGACAAGATTCTGCAGTTTCTGGAGTGGGATGGTGATGGGGAAATAGATTTTAATGAGTTCCTGCTTCTGGTGTTCAAAGTGGCTAAGGCCTGCTACTGGTACCTGCCGAAGGGACCATGCCTTCTGCAAAGAACAAAGCTGACAACCAGTGGCAAGTCACTTCGAGAGCCTGAAATTAAGAATGGAGGGAGCCGTTGGCAGCTCCAGGAGGAGGAAAGACAAACCTGTGAGAGTAATCATCATTCCCCCTGTGACTCTCAGCTGCAACGAGACACCAGGGTCAGCGAACTTGAAGCACTAGAGGAGATAAGGAGTCATCACCAGCAACATAACACACAAAGCACAAACAATGCAAAACGAAGCAGCGACCAGGAGGAGCCAATCACTCAGGTATACGAAGAACGAAGCCAAAGGCCATACAACCAACGGAACAATCAGAGAAGACGTCAACCACCAGAGCCAGACAGACGAGGAGATGCACAACTCTGCAAGCATGGCTGCTTGCAAGCACATGAGCCCGGACAGCGGGAAGATGAAAGGCAAAATCAAGAGCGGCCTCAGATAGCACAACTGGCAGACATGAGGACTCGTAACAAGACCGGTGAACCTCAACCACTGCCAAACCGGTGGAGTAGCCATCAGCCACATGAGCCAGCACTACAAGCATATGATCAAAAAACACAGAAGCCACAAAAAAGAGATAGAGGAAGTTGCAATCAGACACGTAAATCTGAATTAGTCAGAGAAGAGAGAAGCCACTACCACCTACGTGACCTGGAACAAAAAGAAGTTGAAAATCTTAGCCACCAGCCGCATGACCCTAAATGCCTGGACTCAAGACGTCCACACCAATCATATCTACAGGAACCGCTAGAAATTGACCTCAGGCACTATGACACAGATAAGCCAGAAAGAGATATAAATGAAAAAGGGAAAAAAACCGAACGTGAGCTTGAATATCCAGAAAGTCAGAAAAAAATCCATCAGGATCAGACCAGGGAAGAACAATATGAAGAAAGGAGGAAAGTGCCCGTGCGGGAGAGGAGGGTCGATCGCCAACGGGA